AGTGGGGGTGGAGGTGGAGGCAGTGGTGGCCGCAGGGGTGGTACCAGCCAGAGGGGAGGCCTTGGAGGTGGCCAGAGGCAGCAGCAGCGTCAGCCCCTTTCGTCTCAAGAGCTCCGTGAGTGGTTTGCTCAGCGTGGGGCGGCTGGGGGTAGTGGTTCCTGCCCGTATGTCATTCGCACAGGTGACCGCACTGGTCAGACATGCGGGCGGCCTCACACCCAGCGTCGCTGCTTCTACCGCCTTACCGGCGCCTTTCGCGCAGAGTTTCCTGATGCGCCTGAGCTCCCCGACTGGGCGGAGCTGCTTAGGCAGAATGTTGATATCTTTGCTCTAGACTTTGATGCTATCCTATCTGCCATGTATGCATTGACTGTTAGTGCTGAGGGAGACTATTACCTGTGTATGCCGCCGGACCCAGGTATGGAGGCTGTTGCTCTAGGTGCTAGTGAGTCTGCTGCCCTAGGTGCTGGTGAGTCTGCTCCCTCTGGTACTGCGTCTGCTGCAGCCCTGCACACGTTCACGCTCGACTCAGGTGCTTCCCGCTGTTTCTTTCGCGACAGTACCACAGTCACACCGCTCTCTGCACCTGTTGCTGTCTCTCTGGCTGACCCCTCTGGGGGCCCAGTCCTTGCACGTTCCTCCACTGTTCTGCCTTGTCCGGCGGTTCCGTCTGGGTCACTGCCAGGTCTCCACCTCCCCTCGTTCTCTACGAACTTGGTGAGCACTGCTGTCCTCCAGGATGCGGGGGTTGACACCTTCACCCCTGGACGACAGCGTGTGGCGATCTGTACGTGCTCCCAGACCGGCCGCCACCTGGCCACGTTCACCCGTCGGCCTGGGTCGAGTCTCTACACACTGACTACTGCGCCTCCTCAGGTAGCTGCGTCTGCGTCTGCGTCGGGTCAGCTTGCGCCGCCCTGCTCGTGTCGCGCCCTGTCGCACCAGACGCTCCTTTGGCACCACTGCCTTGGTCACCCTTCTGATGCACTCCCGTCTCCTTGTCTCTGGTCTCCCCAGGTCTTTGCCTCCCCTCCCACCCTCGCCTGCCCCTCCCTGCCTTCCCTGTGTCGAGGGGCGGCAGCGCGCCGCTCCTCACTCCTCCTCGTTCCCCTCGACAGAGGCTCCCCTGCAGACTCTCCACCTGGACGTGTGGGGCCCAGCCCGCGTCCGTGGACAGGGCCACGAGCGGTACTTTCTGCTGGTTGTTGACGACTACTCGCGTTACACCACGGTCTTCCCCTTGCGCCGCAAGGGGGAGGTCCCTGAAATTTGATCCCCTGGATCCGCGCTGTTCGTCTCCAGCTCCGCGAGCGGTTCGAGACGGACCTTCCCGTCCTGCGTCTGCACTCTGACAGAGGTGGTGAGTTTTCCTCCGACCTCTTGAGGGCCTTTTGTCGTGCGGAGGGCATTTGCCAGACGTTCACGCTTCCGGCCTCTCCGCAGCAGAATGGGGTTGCTGAGCGCCGCATTGGATTAGTCATGGAGGTCGCTCGTACCTCCATGATCCATGCGGCTGCCCCCCATTGTCTGTGGCCGTTTGCAGTCCAGTACGCTGCGCATCAGCTCAACCTCTGGCCCCGTGTCTCCTTGCCGGAGACCTCGCCCACACTGTGTTGGATGGGAGAGGTTGGCGATGCGTCGGTGTTCCGGGTCTGGGGATGTCGAGCCTTTGTCTGCGATACGTCCGCGGACAAGCTCTCCTCCCGCGCTGTTCCCTGTGTCTTCCTTGGCTTTGTCCCTGACGCGCCTGGCTGGCAGTTTTACCACCCCACCTCGCGCCGGGTCCTGCCCTCTCAGGACGTCACGTTTGACGAGTCGGTTCCCTTTTACCGTCTCTTCCCCTACCGCACTGCCCCTCTCCCCCCCCCCCGCCGCTCTTCCTCGCACCAGGTCCTCCTCCGGTAGACCCCCTCCCCCCTCAGGGTCCTGCCCCCTCAGGTGTGTCCCAGGTAGACCCTGTCGATCCTGTCGAGGTAGCTGTCGACTCTGGTGCTGCTAGGGGTGCTGAGCCTGCGGGTGCGGGGCCTGGGGGTGCTCAGCCTTAGCGTGTGGAGCGTGGGGGTGCTGAGCCTGAGCGTGGGGAGCCTAGGGGTGCTGAGCCTGAGCGTGCGGAGCCTGGGGGTACTGAGCCTGGGGTTGCTGAGTCTGAGGGTGCTGATCCTGGGGGTGCTGAGCCTGGGGGTGCTGAGCCTGAGCGTGCTGAGCCTGGAGGTACTTTGTCCTCTGGAGTTCCTACGGGTGTCTTGTCACGGCGGGCGCCACTCTCTCCACCGCAGCTGCGCGAGTGGTTTGCTCGGCGCAGGAGCCGTGCTGCTGGAGCTGGATCTGCTAGGGGTACTGCTGGTGCTGGAGCTGCTGGAGGTGCTGGAGCCGCTGGTCCCGGAGGTGCTCGTACTGGAGGTACTGGAGCTGCTGGAGCTGGTGGTACTGCAGGAGTTGGAGCTGCTGGAGGTACTACTGGTGCTGGAGCTGCTGGAGGTACCGGAGCTGCTGGAGCTGGCTCACCTACCTGCAGACCGACTTGGGAGAGCCACCTCGTTCTCCTCCAGTTCTGTACGTCGACAACAAGGCCATGATTGCCTTGTGTCACGAGCACAGACTGGAGCACAGAACGAAGCACATCGCTCTGCGCTACTTCCTTGCTCGAGAGTTGCAGCAGCGTGGTCAGCTTCGTCTTGTTTACGTGGCCTCTCAGGCCAACACTGCTGATATCTTCACCAAGGCACTTCAGCCTTGTGATCATCAGCGTTTCTGTACTGTTCTAGGCCTTGTGCCTACTTGGCCTCACTTGCTCACTTCTTGACTTTGCTTGTACTGTGATCTATATGCTTATACCTGCATGCTTATACTTGCTAGATTTTGATCACTGTACTGCTTGTTCTGCTTTATATAACTCTGCATGTGAACTGGCCTTGTGGCCATTTGCTTGTGCTCAGATTGCGTGGTGACGTTGTGATCCACCCTGAGCTTACTTTGCTTTTCTTGACCGGTCTTGTGACCTCTTGTTCTATGGGGGTGTGTCAAACTTATATGCTGCTTATTGTGTAGGCTGTAGTGGGGTAGCCTATATGGGGTACAACCCAAATTAGGGTTTCCTACTTGTACCCATCCCTCTGTTATTTCATTCATTCCTGTTCGTTATTCTGACAGTCCAGCGTGTATAAGGGTGCTGCAAACTGTCGCAAGCGCCTACATCAAACTGGCACTCGCATCACCCTGACATGGAAGAAGCCCTCTACCGCCACATCTGCCTGGAGCGCTAAGGGGGTGCCGACCTCGGTGAAAGATACGCAGCGGTAGAGCCGTGAGTGGATGAAGAAAAACAAGCCCGACAAGAAATGGAACGCCTCCTCGCACTAGAGCCAGCGATTCCGCAATCGCTGGAACCTTGTGATGAGGGTGAAGACGAAGGTGGGGCATAAATTGTCCCAGGGTGAGTGATTCCCTTGCCTGTTGCCCTCTGCTGTGCTCTTTCCTATCGTCTTCTGTGTGATGCCGCCATGTTCTTGCTCTGCATGTTCGTGTGTGGTTCTCCCGGCCTGTGTGCTAATCTGTTTGTTTCTTCTCTCTACTCTTGGCAGAGTGTGCCAAGGATTGTGAAGCCTTCTGGAAGTTCGTTTGCATCCAGCGTGCATGCTACAACATTCGCGCATCATCAACGCAGATCAAACGCCGCTGTTCGTGGAGATGCCAGCGGAGAGGACCCTAGACCACAGAGGCATGCAGGCTGTCCATATCCGCACGGATAGCTACGAGAAGTAGCGGCTCACCGTGAAGCTCGCGTGCACAGCCTCGGAAGAGAAGTTGCGGCCGTGGGTGTGGTTCAAGATGAGGAACATCCCGAAGTCCGACATCCCCGAAGGTACGGTTGGCCCGCATCCCAAAGCGTTTACGCTTGTGTTTATGCATGAGTTGACGCGTTTAGAAGGACCATTGTTCTGATGCCTATTCTTTTACCTTGCTCGGCAGGTGTCATGGTCCAAGCCCGGGACAATGGGTGGATGGATTAGTCGGCGGTGAAGACGTGGATCGGCAAGGAGGTGCTAGGATTAAGGACGGAGTCTAGGTCGTTTAGGGGGGCCGAAATAACTCAAAATCGTCAACTAAGTTTATGGACAGAATATGCGTCGTCAGAAGAAACGCCGTCGACGAAAGGTTCACCGCTAAAACTTCACCAATTTCATGTATGTTGTATCACTAGACCGTGGCTACAGTTCCAAATTTTAATCGTATCAAAACATGAAGTAAATCTCGAGATTTATTTTTGGCGCACTGGGGTGTATGCTAAGGCTGAAACTTAACTCAAGCTTCAATATTCTCCCAAGAACCACAAAGAGGAATTAGAGTAGCATGAAACCAGGTGGGATATCAAGAGGAGGACAAGAGGGAAGGTCCCAAGGGAGCCCCAAACCAACCAAACCCCATAAGCTCACAAAATCCCCTCCCTATAGGAACCCAACTTTGACTCTTGTCATTTTCCCAACCTCCCAAATCCACCTCACCCAAATTGGTCACACTTGTCAACCTGGTTTGGCTACTCCCACCCACTTGGCAGCAACTACAGTGAAGTGACGAATTTCCCCAACACACAAAAGTCTATACCCCATATAGAGTCACTCAACAATTTCCCATAGTCGCCGCAACCAAATATGAAAAACATACGAACTTGAACCATTCGTATCTTTCTTGATCGTGCTCCGATCGCGACGATTCTTGGTTCGACGGAAAGCTCTTGAGCAGAGAAGTCATTTCAGGTATCTGCTCAAATAAAATAAATTTCACACATACTCACAAAGACCAGATAACACCAAGCACAAATTCTTGCACACGCTCACACCACGCATGCAACGTACGAACATAGGATGGGAGGTAGACAGACGTGAATGCAAATGATAGCATCACATAACAGGAGGTTCTCCTTCCTCAACCCCAATAAAGGGCAATCGGCTCGGGGTTCCAGGCTAGTGCTGGATTCGTACCGCAGGCACATCACGCAAGGTATGCTGCAGACGTATCGAACTAACTGCATCACCCTGGTCGTCATCCCTGCAGGCTGCACCAGCCAAATTCGACCACTCGATGTGTCGATCAACCGTTGCTTCAAAGCCGCGGTGCGAGCCCGGTACTGCAGGTGGTTCATGCAGCGTGGCATCAACCTGAGGACGCCAAGAGGTGAGTTGCTGAACCACACGCCTTCATCCCTTGAATCTGCACGTTCATGCCTTGTATCTGCCCTCTGCACCGTTGAATCTGCCCTCATCCATACCATAACCCACCTTCTCTTGAATCTGCCCTCTCACCCCCCCACAGGGAACCTGAGGAGGCCTCCGCACCAGGTGGTGCTGCAGTGAATTGCGGAGGCGTGGGAGCACGTGCCGCGCGAGATCATCCTCAAGGCGTTCAAGACATGCGGCATCTCGAGCAACCTCGACAGGACAGAGAATTGCTTTGTGATGTCTCACATGCGCGCGAGGAGCAGCACCGACGTGTCTGAAGACATGACTCTGCGGGGGAGCACAGGTGACAACATGCGCCTTCTTGGGCAGGCTTCTTGGGGGGGGGGGGGTGGAGGAGGAGGAGGAGGAGGAGGAGGAGGAGGAGGAGGAGGAGGAGGAGGAGGAGGAGGAGGAGGAGGAGGAGGAGCTGCAGGCCGAGTGCGTCAGGGAGGTCGGCGTGGCAACTGGGGTGGAGATGTTGTATGCAGAGACCCCCTGCTACCGTGGGGCTGTGGCCCTGGCCGATCGCCTCGTGGAGCCGGAGAAGACGCTCAAGCACGTCTGGGGGGTGCTAGACTTCGAAGCGCAGGAGCCCTCTTCTGCTAGTGCTGATGAAGGTGAGAAATGGCATGGGTATGTCGTGCATGTACCCTGTGAATGCAGTAAAACCGTTCAGAATACCCCTCCCGTTTAGAAGGAAACCCCTAAGCCCCTGACCATTTATTATACATGTATAGCTAAACTCGTACACACACTTGGGTCTCTTATAACCAGAACATCCATTTGTAAGAATCTACCCTAATTAAAGACACCCCTGTCTACAATTCGACAATGTCTTATATCCGGGCAATGAAGGCAGTTCATCTGAATATTCATATTCTTTGTTGTATATTATCTAAAATTTCAGATATCGGGGATTTTTTCGTCTGACAAGTTGGCATGGCACATGCCCTCGCCCTGGAGGGAAGGGCAGCAAGGGGAGGGGAGGGAGGGACCCGAATCGCCAAGCCCCCACCCCACCGCTGTGACCTGGGGTATGCGAGTGGGATGTAGTGGGCTGCGGGTGGCACTTGCACTTGAGGAATACTGGTTGGTTGACCCTCCTCTGGCCCACAAAACAGAGGTCAACTCTTCGATACCCCTCACAAACTTCCCACCGCCCAACAGAGTGACTCGGTAACGGTCGGAAAATCAATCTGCGCGTTAGAAAACACGTCTGAAAATTTACAGACAGTCAGAAAACAAAACCCAGTCTGATTTTCAGACGGCTCTAAAAACTATCAAAGACCCTGGCTATGACGACTGTACTGCACACTCGAGGCCCCAAAATATCAAGGTTACCCTTTTTGCCCTTTATGGCGGCCGTTTTTTGGGGTTACCCTTTCCAAGACAGTGTAATAGGATTTTTACCCTTTGTCAAAAAGTGTGGTTTTTTTTTTACCCTTTGAAATGCAGGATACGAATTTTGTTTCCGTGACTGTACAGGGTACGCTCACATTTACACTGATACTGGATCCTCTGTACCGAGGACTTTCCTAGCGATTATGTGCAGTGGGCCACAAAATACTCCTACACGTGGGTTGAGATAACTTCCACCGCTAGGAATTGAACCTACAACCTTACCATTCGAAGCTACGCATCTGACCAGCTTAGACACTTGTTAGTCTAATTAACGGCAAACAGTGTACCACAAATGTTACCCTGTGTAAGGAGAAATCCTTTTCCTTACTTCGAGCCCCTGTTTACCGCGTAGACGACTGTTCCCGCCAACGTAAACCGTTACCACTCGCGACACTCGCCTCGACCACTGTTCCCGCCACTGTTCACATCGCGACCCAACCTCACGCCTCGGTTGGTAACCCGCGCTCCGATCCTCCGCCTTGACAATTCCCAACCTCGGCGCCAGGCCCATCGCGCACCCCACATGTCACGCGTTACCGTTACCATGCTAGTTCGCTATATAACATTCCTTCGCTCAATGTACTGTATTTGCCTCGATAGTGCAATCTTCGTTCGCTCACTCAATTGCACTCGTAACACCCTGCCACGAACAGAGTAAGTTGTTTTCAACCCTGAATTTGTCAAGGTAGTGAATTTTTACCCTACCAGTCAGGGTAGGCCTGGCTTGGCACCCTGATTTCCCAGGGTGGCCAAAACCAATTTTGGGCCCTGGCACACTCCTCGGAGAGTCGTGTCACAATCTGAAAAGTCAGGGGACAGTGGCTCATAGGTCTAATCAGACTATTTAGTATGATTCGTCTGACTAATCATACAATTTTGTATGATTCGTCTGACTAATCATACTATTTAGTGATAGATTCATCCCTGGTCCCATGGTACAATCATTTAATTGTCAGAACTATGCATATATGCTCTAGGCTGTAGTGGGGCACTCCTTATGGGGTACAGCCCACATTAGGTTTTGCCTATACAAACCTTGTACTTCCCTCTTTCTAGTCATTCTTTCCTTCACATTTCTGACATGGTTTTAGAGCGGGTTCCCTAGTGGGAACGTTTTTTTTTAGGGCCCACCACGATAACATTTTTCTTTTCCTGCCCTGCCCGAAACGCGCCTCGCGCCTGCCTCACATGCGCCGTCGCGCGCCCTGCCCTACTGCCGCCCGTTGCGGCCCTGCCTTCTCGGCCCGTCGCGACCCTGCCCTAATGGCCCGTCGCGGCCCTGACCTAGCCGCCCGTCGCGGCCCTGCCCTGTCGCCGCCCGTCGCGGCCTGACCTAGCCGCCCGTCGCGGCCTGACCTAGCCGCCCGTTGCGGCCTGACCTAGCCGCCCGTCGCGGCCTGACCCTGCCGCCCCCCGTATCGGCCCTGACCTCGCCGCCCGTCGCGGCCCTGCCCTGCCGCCACCCGTCGCGGCCCTGCCCTCAGCCGCTCGTCGCGGCCCTACTCTATCGCCGCCCCGTCGCGGCTCTGCCCTGCAGCCGCCTTGTTGCGGCCCTGCCCTGCTGCCGCCACGTCGCGGCCCTCCTCTGCCGCCGCCTCGTCGCGGCCCTGACCTAACCGCCAGCTGCGGCCCTGCCCTGCACCCGCCCCTGGTAAGCGCCCGCCCTGCTAAGCGCACCGTCGCTCCCGCTGCCTGCCGCCGCCGCGCCCGCTGCCTGTCGCACTGCCCCGCGCACGCCTTGCCCTGCCCCGTGTCGCGCTGCATCGCGCACGCCCTGCCCTGCCCCGTTAGGCCAGCCACGGGCCCGCCCTTTACGCCCGCTGCCGCGGGCCCGCCCCTTGCGCCCGCCGTACCTGCGTTTTGCGCCCGCCGCAGGCCTGCACTCGCGCCAGCGCCCCGCCCTGCCAAAGCGCTAGCGCCCTGCACTCGCGCCCTGCCCTGCCCTGCCCGAGCCGCCTCTGCAGCGCCCTGTGCGCCCTGCCAAACCCAAAATAAATAAATTAATTAATTAAAAAAGGGAAAAAAAAAATCTCTTGGTGCTTCTACCCTAGGAGTGCCTGCTACTGGCCGCGCGCCGCCCTGCTCTGGCCGCGCATCGCCCTGCCTCTGGCCGCGCGCCGCCCAGCCGAGCCGCGCCGCCCAGCCGAGCCGCGTCGCTCTGCTGGACCGCCCCGCCCTGCCCTCACCGCGCTCTTCCTGCTGCTTCTGCTGCTACTGCTACTACTGCTGCTACTGCCGTCATGGCTAGCCCTACTGCTCTTACCTTCGACCGTAGTGGCAGTCTCGGTGGAGCGGTTCGGTGGGGAGTTTCTGGCTGTGGCCAGATGCAGCTCCAGCGACGTCCGCAGGAGTCCCTCACACCCCAGCAGCTTCGTGAGTGGTACGCTAGTTGGGGTTGTGGCAGCAGCCGTAGTAGCAGTCGCCCATGGAGCTGGTCAGTCGGGAGTTTCTGGCGGTGGCCAGATGCAGCTGCAGCGACGTCCGCGCGAGACCCTTACGCCCCAGCAGCTTCGTGAGTGGTACGCTCAGAGTAGAGGGTCTCGGAGTACTATTCGCTGCCCGTACGTCATTCGCACAGGTGATCGGGCTGGTCAGACTTGCGGGACAGTTGGTCACACACAGACCCACTGCTTCGCTTGTCTGAGCGACGGCTGGCGTACAGAGTTTGGCGACGCGGCTGAGCTGCCCAACTGGCTGGAGCTGCTTAGGCAGAGGGTGGATATCTTTGCTCTTGACTATGATGCTATCCTCACTGCCATGTATGCATTGCCTACTAGTGCTGAGGGTGGCTGTTACCTGTGTGTGCCGCCCGACCCAGGTATAGAGTCTGCTGCTCTGGGTGCTGGTGAGGCTGCTGCTCTAGGTGCTCGTGAGTCTGCTGCTCTAGGTTCTGGTGAGTCTGCTCTCTCTGGTACTGCGCCTGCTGAGGCCTTGCACACCTTCACGCTTGACTCAGGTGCTTCCCGCTCCTTCTTTCACGACAGCACCACACTCACACCCCTCAGTCGGCCGGTTGCAGTCTCCCTGGCGGACCCCTCTGGGGGCCCAGTCCTTGCGCACTCCTCCACGGTTCTGCCGTGTCTGGCGGTCCCGTCTGGATCACCGCCGGGTCTTCAACTCCCCTCGTTCTCTACGAACTTGGTGAGTGGAGCTGACCTCCAAGACGTGTGGGTTGACCAGTTCACCCCTGGAGGTCAGCGTGTGACCCACTGTACGTGCTCTCGGACGGGCAGCCACCTGGCCACGTTCACCCGTCGGCCTGGGTCGAGCCTGTACACACTGACTACTGCGTCTCCTCTGGTTACTGCGTCTGGTCAGGTAGCTGCGTCTGGTCAGGTGTTTGCTGCCGCGTCCAGGTCTGGTCCGGAGTCTGCCCCCTGCTCGTGTCGTCCTCTGTCACACGAGACTCTCCTTTGGCACCACCGCCTTGGTCACCCCTCCCTGCCTCGTCTCCGAGGTATGGCCTCCCGTACCCTTGTCTCTGGTCTCCCCCGGTCCCTCCCTCCCCTTCCACCGGGGCCTGCCCCTACCTGTGTTCCTTGCGTCGAGGGACGCCAGTGCGCCGCTCCTCACTCCTCCGAGTTCCCTCCGACAGAGGCTCCCCTGCAGACTCTCCACATGGACGTGTGGGGCCCAGCCCGCGTCCGTGGACAGGGTCACGAGCGTTACTTCCTGCTGGTCGTTGACGACTACTCGCGTTACACCATAGTCTTCCCCTTGCGCCGCAAGGATGAGGTCACGGAGGTGTTGATCGACTGGATCCGCGCTGCCCGTCGCCAGCTCAGCGAGAGTTTCGGCTCGGACCTTCCTGTTCTGCGTCTGCACTCACACAGAGGTGGTGAGTTTTCCTCCGACCTTCTGCGGGCTTTCTGTCGTGCGGAGGGCATCCGCCAGACGTTCACGCTTCCGGCCTCCCCACAGCAAAATGGGATTGTTGAGCGCCGCATTGGCATGGTCATGGACGTCGCTCGTACGTCCATGATCCATGCGGCTGCTCCCCAATTTCTGTGGCTGTTCGCGGTCTAGTACGCTGCACATCAGCTCAACCTTCAGCCTCGTGTCTCCGTGGCGGAGACCACACCTACTCCGCGGTGGACGGGGAAGGTTGGCGATGCGTCTGTGTTCCGTGTCCGGTGATCTCGAGCTTTTGTCCGCGATTCTTCCGCGGACAAGCTGTCCTCCCGTGCTGTTCCCTGCGTCTTCCTTGGCTTCCCCCCTGACGCGCCTGGTTGGCAGTTTTACCACCCCACCTCGCGTCGTGTTCTGTCCTCTCAGGACGTCACGTCTGACGAGTCGGTATCTTACTA